TACACATTCCTTTACAGTACACTCGCAAGCTTATATTTATTCATATGGCAGCCAAATTCGACCTGGTGTCTGCAATCTGCAGATATTCACAGTATTTCAAACAGGCCCCGACAAAATGTGTCTATTTTTTCCATGGAAATATGACTTATGGTAACAGAAAGGGTCTACAGCAGATTGTATAATATTTTGTATGACTGTAACTTAACTGTCTTGTCTTGTAAAATTAAGAAATCAACACAAAATGTCCCTCCTTCCATTGTAAAATGCTGATTAAAGGACAAAGGCCCATATTGTCCCATCATTATATTCAAATGCACTTTCAAGTCGCAGTCTCTCCGTCTTTCCACCTGCTTATATGGCGATGCTGAAGATGATGCTGATGATTATGTGAAATACATTGTCCTTTAATTCATTCCTAAAGGCCTTTCCACGAGTGCCATAGGGCTGCTAACCTTACTGTGCACTTTCACTTTAATTAACCTCTAGCCAGCAATTTATACCACCAATAACCCGGAGAACTAATAACTGAGGCTGAAGTTTATGACGATATTTGGCGATAAACCAAACTGTTGTCGGTTTCAGTGCCAACGGTGATGCGCAAATCCTCCCCAATCTTGTTGTTGGAAAACATGTCTCACATAGATAGATGAGCCTATCTATCTAATCCGGTGCCTGTGTGTGTGGTCGCATTTGTGTGTATAGCCGATGTCTGTAAGAGAAACACACATTGATTATTGTTGTCTGTGGTGCGTATTCACAATATTTACTTAATCTTAGAAACACTGAAAAGAACGCATTGCAAGCAGAGGAGAGAAGGCCAACACTGCCTGCAGTTTTGAGTATATAATGATAGACCAACTCCACGCTGTTTTTGGAAGGCATTCCGCAAAGAATTGGGTTGCTTCACTCAGCATGTTCAGGACAATGTGTGCCTTCTCAATTCAATCATTTGCTGCAATTGTCTTCTTTATTCTAATGTTCTTTTCCACAACTATAACCGCCACTCAGTGCAAATTACATCTGCGAATGCTAATAAATCATCCTAAATCATCATAGGGATAAAAAATCAGCACAGTTGCTTCCTAGTACATTAACTTAGCTGTTTAAACTCTGGTGACACTGCGGTAGCTGCCACCACTGGGTGGCGCCCCAACCCAGTTTATTTTTTGGAAACGTATGATCACAATATAAAATAAAAAAGTTCACGAGCCATGCATGTTAAAACTGCACATTTAAAAGATAAGAAACAACAACTACACAATAAAGACAACGAAATGAAGCAGCACCCCTGGTCTTATTAGTTAAATAAGGAAGGTAATGTGACTCATGATTAACATATATTTTATACATATTCCACTTCATTGGGTACGTCTTGTACATGGATCCAATGGAACATCTCTGTTTTAAAAATAAACAAATCAGTTTTGCTTGACACTGTCAGAGAGGTTTTTAACATTTTCAAGTAAACAAAAGTATATGCTTCTTAAAGTAGAATTTATGGCACAGCTTTTGTATTGCATTACACAAGGTGTATCCAACAAAGTGGTCAGTGATCAATACAACACTTGACAAAGGAAGATATAGCTTAGCCATATGCACCAAATCCCCTTCCACATACGTGAGATATGATTACTTGTTTGTGTAATAACAATGTGCAACATACTGTAAGAAGCCCGAATGGAGGTTTTCTGGTCAATTTGACATCAAAACTTAATAGTAAAAGTGATAGAAATGTACAGATAGAGGATTTGTCTAATGTGGAAAGGTTAGTACAGAAATAATAGCAAGGGCTGTAGACAGTGCTGTCCAAATTGGGGCCCTAAACGCAACATTTTGTCATGAGGCACTGCACATGTTCTGCGTATATGGAGGGGCAGCCCTGGCTGTAAAGGAGATCACAATAGAGTGGTCTTTATACAGCCAAGGGTGTAACTTTGGTTTGAGAAGTGGGGGGGACACAAAACAGGGGGTCCTCCGCAATGAAACATTTTCTCAATTTAATTCTATTTCCTGCCTTTCTACAAATATATTAGGGACTATAGTGTTAACAAATTCAAGAAAAATGTGTAGTGTATATAATGAGTGTGCACACTTATATAGTATCCTATCCATGTGAACCTGTTTTATTTGTGATGACCTCACATCCTCTAGTGCAGTGCTTCTCAAAGTGTGGTCCGCGGACCACTGGTGGTCCGTGAGCGCCCCCTAGTGGTCCGTGAGTATATTGGTAAAATTTCACATTTGAAATAAATTAATTAATTAAAGTTTTCCGCACTCTCGCGGGAATATCTCCGCAATGGAGCGAGCTTAAGTTTCACTTTCAATTGCATGATATAGCCCAGATAAACACCTTCATCACACATGTGGCCACTTGTTTGTACCATTTTCAGGCGATTTGTAAAAAACAATGTGTTTTTGGATATTTGTGGAGTTAGGTGGTCCGCGAGTATTTTTTTATTGGTTAAGTGGTCCTTGGTATGAAAAAGTTTGAGAAACACTGCTCTAGTGGGGTCCGGGGGCATGCACCCCGGGAAGATTTGTTTCTTTACATTGAAGTTGAATGCATCAAGCTGGTGCAGTTTGAGGCCAACATTAAGAGATTTATGGACACAGTTCTCAACACTCATATGAAACAGAACTGTATATATTTCAATAATCAAAAAACCATTAGAATATTCTCACAACCAATAACACATATTTGATAAACTCCTCTCCTATCTTTATCTTACTATAGTCTGCATTCTTTCTTTTTATTTATGCATATTTGACTAACCACTCCCCTTTCAAACTGTGTGTTTATTTTTGTACTGACCTATAGTACACATTGGAAGGATTTCTTAACGTATTTTATATACAACTAATATTACATAGCCTAGATGGAAATATTTGTTTACATAGATGACCAAACCAGGCAATACATTCTCATTTCAAAAGCTTTGATTCTACTGTTTTTAATAAAACAACAGGGAAGGAAGTATATTGTCAAATTGGAAACTTGTTCTCATTTGAACTGATTTAGTTCTGCACTAAAACTATCTCCAGAACCGTCAGTCAGTAGAGAAGGGTGATATAAATTGGTGGCTTGATAACTGTACTGGCCTGTACTGCCCGCTTGTGGTGGGTTGTATATTACACTGCTCTTTTGACTTTGGAATTAAGCGTATGGGCTTTTTGTTGTTCTTCGTTGATTTTATATTTGAAATAACATGATATAGAAATCGTGACAATTTTATGTTTATCTTCATGACTCTGTTGTTTAAGTTATATTGATAAGCATTTTTTTTTTGCGGTGGAAGGAGGGAGGGGGGAGTGTAGTGAGTGTACTGTGGTACTGTGATATTACAATATAAATGAAATGGCATCGATTACTGTACACTATAATGAAATAAAAAGACTTGTAAAAAAAGAAAATAAATCGTGACAAAGAACATTGTTACATCATCTACACAAATATACACACAGACACACACACAAACAAAAATGTGACACCCAAATAACTTTCCTCTCATTATCTATGTTGATTTTCTTCAAACCACCTCCCTCTTTAACCCCTGTGAAAAAATTATTGGGCAAAATAGGATTTCTCACTGCCAGCGCATCAAACGCCCCCATTGGCAAAAATCAGACACTCTGCAATTAGTCACTTGATTATCTCTACAGAAAACCAAATGCTGCTCCTCATCACAGGGAGGAATTAAAGGAGGGCCATTTACTTTCTATCACAGTAAAGATGACAAAGACTCAAAATGAGCAGGAGCTGTAATCCACTGAAACTCTCACTTAAAGAGCCATCACTTATATTTAATATGCAAGTTACATTTATTAAATAAAGTGAAACATTGAGCATACCATAATCCACAAAATCAATCCGGGAAATTATTTTTGCAGTATAGGATATGACAAAACGTTTTATTTCACTTTGTGATAGCAACAGAGCACACTTTTGATAAAGACCACTTGGGTATCAAAAGTGTGATCTTCAGGAAGGTAAACAAACAGCAGAAAAGCTGCGTCTCAGCTGTTTCCTTCTTTCCTTCTGCATAATGTGCATCCTTTTGGGGAGGTTGTGTTCAGGATCAGTGAGGGAAAGGAGAGGGCGCCCCTGGTAAGTGGGTACTTGTCTGAGGGTTGGGAGGGTCTCTGGTCCAGTAGCCCTGTGATAGAGCATGAGACTTGCACCAGAAGCCATAAACACTCAACACATTAATTAAAAGATGGAGAGGGACTGAGGGAGGCCGGAGAGTAAAAGCAAGGGGAAGTCAGAAGGGAAACTAAACGGATCATATTCATGTGGGTAACAACAGAGACCCACATGCATTCACAAAGGATGTAAAATAAGACATACTTCATGAATCCCCAACAGGGAAATGTCTTATACATGCACACACAGAACCACATGCAGGATAGGGCAGGTGCATGGCAGAGTGAAGAGGCGGCCAGTTAGCTGGCGCCCAGAGCAGTTGGGGGATTGGTGCCTTGCTCAAGAGCACCTCGGCAGAGCCCAGGAGGTGAACTGGCACCTCTCCAGCTACCAGTCCACACCATATTTTTTTGGTCCAATCGGTAGCCTATGTGAACCTCTACCCAAAATAATTAACACACACAAAATGGTAAATGTTAGGCCTTAATATAGATTTGATGACTCTATAATTATAATACAAGTAATAATAATCAAAATAATAATAATGTATTCAGATAATTACACATTTTGTGTGATGAGGTCATGAACCAGAGTTTTTTTGGGCCGCCATGCAGTTCTTAATAGATGAGTTTTCAGTTTGCAACGTAAGATGTGCAGAGCTTCTGCTTTCCTGCGGTATGTGGGGGGCTTTAGCATCCTCTGTTGTAGCAGGACAGCAAGTATTGAGACTTATCTTCATTATACCAGGGAAACCGCCCCGGTAACTCTTTCATGGAGCTGTAATGATGTCAGTCCGGCTGGAGCCACAGCTATGTGCAGGCAGAACTGTCAGCTAAATCCTCTCAGGTGTAGCTGCAGCGCACAGGCTCCTCCCAGCAGCTCTGACCCACTGTCAGAAGAACAGGAAGACTCCTCTGCCGCTAAAGCTGTAGTCGCTCGCTTCCCCCTGTCATTTAGGGGTTAAAAGTTAAATAAACTTGTAGCAGTCATGGAAACTAATTTAGAAAACAAGTCGGGCCAATTCATCCGTAACATCATCTCGTCACCCGTGTTGTAGTCGCCGAAACAACTGGTGGAAGTGGGAAGAGCGGAGTTTTTTTTCTTTCCACGGGGCTTTACCTACTGTTGTCAGAAGAGCTAGCGTAGCTGAAGCTAAGAGTTAGCTCACTTATTACCGCATACTTTCGAGACTCAAAGTTCACTTTGTTTAACATATCGGTTCGTATCACACGTGGATCCTATAAGTCGTTTTTTGTATTTTATTAACGCAACAGGAAGTGTTCGTACTTTTCCTTCCGAGGGCTTGGGCTGTGCTTTGAATTTCCCTCCTTCAGTGATACAGACAGGCGGTTTAGCGAGGGGCTCGTTTGGTGTAGTTGGCTCTCTACCAAATCATTAGCAGCATTGTGCTAATTGTGGCTAAGTTAGCCAGGCACTAGCTTAGGCCCAAGGGAATAAACAGTTGGCTTTTTAACAAAGTTTTGAAACACCTTCTGAGGATACGTTTGCTATTTTTTTTACGATTGAGTTCTGGGAGATTACCGCCACAAGGGTTTATTCTGTCTCCCAACTCAAGGAAACGGATTAAATTATCAGTATGGATCCAAACACGGGGAACTCTGCTTCAGCGGCTGGTCCCAAGAAGGACAAGAAATCAAAGAAGAGCTACGAGGATGGAGATGGGAAAAAGAAATTTGTGAGTATCAGGTTCAACTTGTTGCACTTTTAATGATCTGTACATGGGTTCAAAAGTTGTGCCTCTGACTCCATAGAGGGTTACATATTCTTCCTCTCATGTTTCAAAGTGAAGCTACAAAGCAACTAACTGCCACTATACCTGTAATTACCTTCAAACCAAGAGCTGTGCACCAGCTGTCAATAGAGCTTAACATGTTACCCTGTAGGAATCATGATTCAGGTCAAAGTAAATGACAACATATGAGGAAGTAGAAGCTTGCTCTCCAACTATGAAAACAGAAACTGTGCAATAAACTGTAAGTCAATTCTGTCAAATTGCAACACGTCAAGAACTAACTCAAGTGTACTTTTTTTAAACATTGGAAACACTAAATGAAGACCCAGCATTGTACTGTTGTGTTTTGTAAAGAAACAGGACTTCATGTATTGTAAACACTATACAAATTGAAATTATTTAATGGAATTGTTTCAAACAAATGACCTCATGGTAAGGTGTGGCAGAGGGACGTTGAATGTTCCCAGGCTGACCTAATCATTGGGATGACATCATGGTGTCTGTCAGCTTCTGTGACTCAGTGTGGTGTCTGAGAGCAGAGCAGTAAGAGTCACCTGTACTTATGTCTTTCTTCAGCCAGTCCAAACTGTTGCGTAACTTAACCCCCTGGCAATGTCTAGCAACAAGTGAAAACTGATATTGTGAACGGTAACCAAAGATGATGCACAAAAGTCACATCTGGTCACACACACACAACTCAAACAGTTTCTTACATAATAACATTTATTTTTACATACAGAATCCTGCATGCTTGTTGTTGAGAACCTTCAATGTAGATAGTATGCTAATACAGGCCAATATGCTTATGGCTAGGAGATAGTTGTAGGAGTTTGTGTGTTTCTTGTTACAAGCATTGTTTTAATGAACAGACACAGTCAATAAAGTAGGGAAAACTGCCTGTGTGCTAGTGTTAATAAATGCATGTTCTTGTGCTTCTTCAGTGTTAAAAAACAGTGACAAATATGGTTAAAAATAAATAAAGTATGTGTTAAATCGCATATTTTTACAGTACTTCAATTGCACATACAGGTTAAGTAGGGCTATAAGTAAACATGAGTCATGGACATCGATTGTGCAATGTCCTTAGAGCACTGAGTCTGGGTCATTCTGCCTGCTGGTGTGAGTGCATGTGTCCAGCAGCACTGCCCGACTTAAGAAGAGGTTTTTTTTTTCACAGTTCAGAGTTCAGAAAGAGGTTATGGGGTGTAGACATGTGTGCTGTCATTGATCTACAGTGTGTCATCGGCTCTCAACTATCTTGACTTCATCACACTCCGCTTTCACCTCTCCTCAGACATACCAGTGATATCTTGATGAGATAAGACTGAAGGATGTGTGTATTGTTGCCAGCCAGCTTTCTATTTAACCCAAAATCCTTGTGTGAATGTCTCTCCGTTATGCCACCAGGGACTGAATGAAGCGGTGTGGGTGGGTTATCCAGTTTTAGTCACTGTGTCTTTTTCGAGAAACGGGCCCAGTTTTTGGATGACTAAAATAGGATTGAAGTTTTTTTTGTTGGAATAATGTCACTAACAAACTTCGCAATTAACCCAAAGCTTATAGCCATTTTTAGCATGGAGAATGTATGTATTCAGTGCATGACATTAAGGATTTTGGGAGATGGCCCTGTGGGCCATCTAAGCTAATTTACAGATGGCCCTGAGCCCAATAGAGATTGCCCTGAAAAATGCGCACGGACGAAATGACGCACGAAGGGTTTGGGGCGCCTCCCCCTAGAACATTTAGGTTTGTGCAGGTCTTAGATGCTGTCTGGTGCATTCTCTAGACTGAATTATAAGATGAACCACCACAATATTATATTGTACAATTTCAATTTTATTCTTCATTTCACTTGTTTGTTCTTGTTTGTGTTTGCTCGCTTGCATGACCTGCATAGCTATAAGAAATACTTATACAAGTTGTTGGTCAAGAAGACACTTTCCATCTGATGAAGGCAAATGCCTTCCCAGATGTAAAAAAGTAGAAAACATTACATTCAGTTATTAATGCCAAAACAAACATTATTTACACTATTATGGCCCCTGTTAAAAATGTTTGTAATGTTATCTACTGTAAGTTGATCGAACGAATGCCTCCTCATCCGGAAGCTGACCGAGCAGACCCGAGCAGCAGTCGAGAGGAGCCGAGCGCATCCGCCAAGCACACAACATGGCGACGTCAGAGTTCCCGTTAGCCGTTATTATACATCCATGGTTAGCCGGCAAATCTAAATCTCTTCGGTCAAAATCATTTCCCTTTAGCGCAATACCGCTTCAGTTGCGCCACTTATGTGACAGACAAGAATAGTCAATTCTAATGTCTAACACTTAATGTGGAGAAAGAGATGTCCTGTATGGGTTGATTGTGCGTTGATCTGTTGGTAATGCCTCTGGGTTCCGGTGGGCATGTAAACAAATGTATAATGCTGCGCTATACTTTGTGGCCTGACCCAGTTGCATAGCGACACTTATTGTTTAGGTGTCTTTTAATAAGCAGGTAGTCATATCATTAGCTAGAACTAGCTAGATCTGATCGATATGGACATAAACGCGAGTGAAGTCTAATCTGACGGGAGAGAGAGAGATCAGCTGCTGCTGACGAGTGGACACGCAGCTCTGCATAATCACATGCAGCGGTGAGCGGACAAAACACACACTTCAGGTTAGAATATCACACGTAGCTATTTTAATGACCTCTCAAACTACCTAAACTAGTTATAGATATGTTTAGTTTTACTGTCGGGTCACTCATTACTGGATCCGAGAGCTGCATGATACTGGCATAATAGATTGCCCGAACGGGCAACCAGCAGGTGAGGCTTCATTGCCCGAGCTAAATAGATGGCCCCGGGCCATCGGGCAGTCCTTAATGTCGAGCCCTGGTATTATTATAAAAAAACATAATATTCAAACCCCCAAAATATCATCAATAAGAAGCCAAGTCTCTATGCATTGCGTCACATTTTTCCCAACCCCAACATCACCCCTGTAGTGTACTCATCTTTACAAAAACATTCTGTATTGATTTAATGTTCGCTTGCTGTTTAAGAATGTGTGTAATCGTGAGCACATGTGATGTGATGTGAGCACACACATCTATGTGTGTGTGTCTCAGTTCACACACAGGTTGTTTGACATACGTGACCTTCACAGGAATGCTTACCAGGATCCACTGTGCTGACAGGTACCTCTGTAACTGAGCATGATTCATGTAGTACGTTTGAAGCCATAAGCTGGTCCTTTAGCTGCGTTCTGTGAAGCGCTATCTGTGTTCTTCAGAGAGAAAGCATCATCATCATCCCTAAAGACTGTTGACACAAACAGGCTGGATCAACCCGGCAGGCAGGGGCAGGGTGGATTAGCCACGGTTCACTGCCTTGGACAGTTGTTTGGGATACAAGGTGACTGGTAGATCACAGATTTGAGCTCTGGGGAATCTCTTTGAGTTTGGCAGGTAATCTTTTATTAGGAGGAAGGTTTGCTGAAGTCTGTCATGTAGAAGTTCTTCTGGGGCTTTTCTCTCAGACCTTCATTGGCTGTTTACCACTTATTGGCGTTTCATAATAATTGTATTTGAATCCATTTCTTTCTATAATACCGTGGGTTAGCTTTTGAGCCTGTGTTGCATAGTGTTCTGTTCAGGCTCGAACAGCTGTGTCAGAGGATGGACTGCAGAAATTGCAAAATGTATCTGATTCTAAGCAGCACATATGTTTCTCTTTTTAGTTGAACATTCAAGAGTTTAAGTATATACTTACTTGCTCATGCTTGCAGCTAGGCCTGTCACAATAATTCATTTTGTTGGACGATACATTTTCCCGGAAATGATTGCGATAAACGATACATTTTAGACCACTGACATAATGATAATAATAATTCAAGTACATCCTTTCAAACAGAACTTTTTTTATTGAACATTCAACATTGCAAATGAAATGTGAAATAATATTCAAATATATTAATTATATATAATAATTGAAATAAACAAATAAATTAAATTATAAAAAATGAATTAAATCACACAAAACCTCTCTCTCTCTCTCTCTCTCTCTCTCTCTCTCTTAATCGCACATGTTATATCTGTTCTAAATGTACCTTTTTAGAGGAATATTTTTCAAGTTTTTAATACTCTCATCAACATATGAGTGGACAAATAGGCTTTATGCAAATGTTTGTTTATTATCATTGGAACAATGACAAATATTCTCCTGAATATTTTCAATACAACAACCTGGAACCTCTCTCTCTCTCTCTCTCTCTCTCTCTCTCTCTCTCTCTCTCTCTCTCTCTCTCTCTCTCTCTCTCTCTCTCTCTCTCTCTCTCTCTCTCCCAACCCTGTCTACTTCTTTGCACTGAGCCAGTTGCTCAAACAGACAAGCCTGTTTACAGTTGTCGGCGAAATGCCGCTCCTCTGTCTTCATAACAGTCAAAGCATGAGACTGAAGTTCCCCCCTAGGGTCAAAATAATGTGCTGTGATGTGCAGTCGATACGTTGGATGCGATCCGAATGATCTCACACGGTCCCTCGTCCTCCACAATGTTAATTGTCCTGCAAGCTGTAGCCACCGCCACCCATTTAGCTATCGCTGTTTGAAAGCTTGCTGCTCGTAGACGCCAAACTTTCAAGCGTGGTCTGCCGCAAGCGAGCGGCAGGAGCGGGGCTGTCAGCATCAGCTGTGTGCTGTTTAAAACACATTTTTTTGTATCCATATCTCTCGCTAGAATCTCCCACCATCCAACTAACAACAACAACAACAACAACAACAACAACAACGTCAAGCCTTTGGGCTCTGAAACTACGGGGCGGGTCGACGACAAATACACATGCGTTAATCGCACGTTAAAATAATTAGTCGCGGTTATTTTTTTTGCGTTATTAACGCGTTAACTTGACAGCCCTAAAATATATATATATATACACATTTATAATTATATATGCAAGGA